GTGGAGGGTGTGGGGCTCACAGTCCCGCCATTCTGTGGCCCCCCATGAATACCACCTACTGAGGTAAAGCCACGCCCCTGCAGGCCTCAGATGGACGAAGACTCCACATCTGAGCAACAACAACATAAAGCGGGGGGCTCACACTGCACGGTGGCTGGTAGTTTTAATGGCCCAAATATGCCACCTACATCCTCACTTCCTGCCTTGGTTTGAATACCCGTGCTGACAGTAAGGTGGTTAGACCTCAGAACTCCACGCCAAAAAAAGTCAAAGTATGTTAATTTAAAAGATAGAAGTATAGTTTTTTAGCCTTATATTTGTCTACCTCTCCTTCTTCTTTCAAGGCCAGTTTTTCTAAAGGACACACCTCCAAATTCCTGCCAACCCCCAGACTGGCTGCTTACCTGGAACACAGCACGTCCCCCGGCTGACGGCTCGCGCCGGGAGCTGTGACTCACCCTCGAGGTGCAGAGACACTGGGTTCAGGATGGCGGCGGCGGGTGACACATGCGTTGTAGCCGCAAAGCTTTAGAGGGAGACCTGGGGGCCGCGCTCTCTGAGTTGGGGGAGCAGGGCTGAGTGACACTGCCGCTCGCCTGGTGTCAGCCTGCGGACGGCGGGCCGTCTCCCTGCTGTAAGGCAGCTCCTCTAACAGATCTCTTGTACGTCTGTGTGGACCCTAGTGCTTCTGCTTCTCTGGAGAACCCTCACCGATACGCCTGAGTCAAGAGGGAGGGGGGAGAGAGGCAGGTATAAGGGGGCAGGGCCATTGGGGGCTCTGAGCCCGACACCCGCACTCCCCGCGAGGCCCCTCTTACAGTCCTCTGCCGGGACGCAGGGCTGGTGGGGGGCTCTGAGCCCGACGCCCGCACTCCCCGCGAGGCCCCTCTTACAGTCCTCTGCCGGGACACAGGGCTGGTTCATGTCCCAGCAGGTGCAGGCAGCCAGGCCGGGGAGACACTGCACCCGTGTGCTCCCTGGCCTCAAACGTGTGCCCCCCAGAGCCTGGGAGGGGAGAGAGGGGGA